TATATATATTATATACGCACCTTGGCGGAGGTCTGCACTCTCTGAGTGCTTTTCTAATTATTATTATTATTATTATTATTATTATTATTATTATTATTATTATTATCATAATTGTTATCATCGTCATTACTTTTACTATTATTATTGTTATCATCATAATCTTGGAATTCAAGAAAGAGGTAAAAGCACATTGAATTAAAAATAATCCGAAAAAGCTGTATTTTCTCTCTCTCTCGCTATTTTATTTCATTCATGCATTTTTTATTCTTCTAAATATTTTTGAAGAGCATGTCAGAAGGAAAGGGAGGGAAGGGAACGGCATCTTACTGGGCAGAGGATAACTCAAGCAAAGCAATTTTCTAAAATCTTATCTAGTCTTCACATTTAGTTTTTACCTATCATTATTATTTTCAAGATTCAGACTACACTATTGAATGGGAAAAAAATAAGCACTACATATAATCTTAAATTGATGTGTATGGATACATATGACATATAGATATGCGGAAATGAATGAACAGATAATTAAATTAATAAATTATATATATATATATATATATATATATATATATACATATATATATACATATACATATATTTATATATGTGTGTGTGGGTATGTACATACATGCATATATGTATACATATAAATAAATATGCATATAAACATATATATATATATATATATATATATATATATATATATATATGTATGTATGTATATGTATGTGTATATACATATTTACATATGTACATACGTATTGGGAAGCGGAACACAAAAATGCGGCTGAAAGAATTTCATTATTGCAATTGTAAACGTTTCGGAGATGTAATCTCCATCATCAGTGCTAAAATAAAAACAAATCAAGGAAATTATTCTAATTACATTAAACAATATATAAAAATGATAAATAATCATAGAACGAAAAACATCAAATGAGCACAAATGAAGCCAGTGTAGCAACTAACAGGCACTCACCAGATAATGGGGGATTGGTAGTTTACGTGGAAATCAGGGTGGCATCAGTGGAAATATTGTTTAGTTTTGGTTCACTGATAGAATGTGGAGAAACAGCTAACATCAGGTCAACTCTTTGAAGATGGGAGGTTAAGAATTTGAAATTAGTATTGCTAAAAAGGTGATTGTGGAAGTGAGAGTGCTCTCTAATTGCTGAGAAGGATGGTTTGCTCAGCTGTAGGCCTGTCCTGATGGACTTGTCATTATGTTCGAGAATGCGGTGACGTTGCCATCGTGAGGTTGATCCCACGTACCTAACCTAGCAGCTAGGACATATAAATGGGTAAACCACATTCAAACTTAGTTCAGAGTCACACTTTTTTCCAATTCCCAATAGTGTCACTATTGTAAAAGACTAAAACCGATATGAGGATAGCATTGCCTGAGAATTTTATTTAATGATTTTCTGAGATCAAATCAGGTGATATACAAAATCTTTGCCCAATGATAGCTGTCACTCCATATCCTATCAATGGACCAAAACTAAATGTTATACAGTTATTACATAATAATTGAAATATATCAAAGGAATATCATACAGAGTATGATATAGTTAAGTTTGTGCTAAAATAGAAATATTCTTTGGTTTTCGTTCCTTCGCATTCATAAATGCTCATATAGTTGTGATATTTTGTGTATATGTGAATAGTTACATAATTATTTGCGATAAAGTAAGATTAGTTTATTTGATATGTATTAGTAATAGCCACAATGGCGTAAAGGAAGTCGAATTAGTTTTAGCGTGAACATCTGCAGGTTTTCAGCGGGTCATAGCAGCTTGTATATGAATTTTTAAGGCTTGCTCGTGCTTTGAATTTACTTGTCATGCTTAGTCAGAGAACCAGCAGAATTGTTGAGAACCTTAGTGCATTTTTCATATTACATGCATTGTTATCCAATCAACATATATTTCACAAAGTGTGATCACATGTTAAGGTATGCTTCCCATTCTTGTCTTATATTAACTCTATTTATACTTTTGTTCCATATTATCAAAAAGGCATAATTTTGAAAGATTTGTATATTTCATAAATTAGTTTGATATTAAACTTATGAGTGTTAGTGTTTCTGTTTTTTTTTTTTTTTTTTTTTTTTTTTTTTTTTTTTTTTTTTTTTTTTTTTTTTTTTTTTTTTTTTAGCAGAATATAACTAAATTCATGAAATGATTATGGCGCGCTCTTGAGATGACTCACTCCTGTCTTCATCTTGAGACGACTCATCCCTGTCGTCTTCTTGAGATGACTCATTCCTGTGTTCATTTTGAGATGACTCGTCTTTGTTTTTATTTTGAGACGACTCTTCCTATCTTCATCTTGAGACAACTCATTTTTGCTGTCTTATTGAAACGACTCATTGCTGTCGTCTTCTTGAGACAACTCGGCCCTGACTTCATCTTGAGACGACTCATCGCATCATTGGGAGGCGAGAATTGACCGCGAACCCTGCATGGTCTCTATGCGTTTTCGCGCATAGAGACAACTGTCGTGAGTACAGCTCTATTTGTTTTATAATAACCGCAAGAAAATGAAAGAAACAAAGAGCTCCTTTGGAGAAGGTTCAAAAGACACAGATCTCAGGCAGCGTATGAAAGGAAGAAATGAGTATACCCAAACCTTGAGGGAGGCGAAATTAGACTTTGAAAAGGATATAATCAATAAATGTACAAACCAACCAAAGTTCTTCTTTAACTACATAAATAGTAAGACTTAATGTAGAGACCAAATTAGCGCCATCTAAGTCAATAACATCGTCTATACTAAGGAGGAGGAAATGTGTGAAATCTTTAATGAGAAATTGCAGTCAGTGTTTGTTTAGGACCCATACTTTGAAACGGCAAGTAACCGTGCAAACGTAAATCAGAATATCGAAAATATCACACTCGAAAAGAATGAAATAAAAGGCCTAGATGGGATATATAACTGGATTCTGAGGGAATGTGCCGAAGAATTATGTACTCCGTTATTGTTAATATTCCAAAATTCAGTAAGACAAGGAAAACTACCAAAAGATTGGAAACTTGCCGATGTCACACCTTTATACAAGAACGGTGGCAAACAGAAATCCTCTAGATCATAGACCAGTTTCGTTAATTAATGTAGTATGCAAGCTGTTAGAAAGGATAATTAGGAAACAGCGGGTTGAAGTATTTGAAAAAAACACGATATGATATCAAATAATCTCACTCAATCAGTCATTCCGCATCTCACTCACTCAGTCACTCTGCATCTCATTCACTCAGTCATACTCTCTGTCTCTTACTCACTCAAGTCACTCTCTGTCTCTCAATCAATCAGTCACTCTCTTACTCAGTCACTCTCTGTCTCTTACTCATTCTCTCTTTTTCACTCAGTCACTCTCTCTGTCTCTTATTCAATCAGTCACTCTCTCTCTCACTCACCCAGTCACTCTCTCTGTCTCACTCACTCACTCTCTGTCTCTCACTTACTCAGTCACTCTCTCTGTCACTCACTCATTTTTGGAATTAGAGAGGGAAAGGGAAAGGGAGAAAGAGAGGGGGAGAGGGAGAGGAAAGGGAGAGAGAGAGAGAGAGAGGAAAGGGAGAGATAGAGAGAGGAAAGGGAGAGAGAGAGAGAGAGAGAGGAAAGAGAGAGAGAGAGAGGAAAGGGAGAGAGAGAGAGGAAAGGGAGAGAGAGATGAAAGGGAGAGAGAGATGAAAGGGAGAGAGAGATGAAAGGGAGAGAGAGAGAGAGAGAGAGAGAGAGAGAGAGAGAGAGAGAGAGAGAGAGAGAGAGAGAGAGAGAGAGAGAGAGAGAGAGAGAGGGAGAGAGAGAGAGAGAGAGAGAGAGAGAGAGAGAGAGAGAGAGAGAGAGAGAGAGAGAGAGAGAGAGAGAGAGAGAGAGAGAGAGAGAGAGAGAAAGAGAGAGAGAGAGAGGGGGGGGAATGGGAAAGATGAAAGGAAAGGAAGTGTGAAAGAGAGAAAAAGAGAAAGAGAGATAGAGAGATAGAGAGATAGAGAGATAGAGAGAGAGAGAGAGAGAGAGAAAGAGAGAAAGAGAGAAAGAGAGAAAGAGAGAGAAGAGAGAGAAAGAGAGAAAGAGAAAGAGAAAGAGAAAGAGAAAGAGAGAGAGAGAGAGAGGGGGGAGGGGCGGAATGGGAAAGATGAAAGGAAAGGAAGTGTGAAAGAGAGAAAGAGAAAGAGAAAGAGAAAGAGAAAGAGAAGAGAGGAGAGAGAGAAAGAGAGAGAGAGAGGGAGTGGGGGTGTGGTGGGAGGGAGGGAGAGGGAATGGCAGGGGGAAAGGGAAATATGAAAGGAGAGGAAGAGGGAGAGAGAGAGACAGAGAGATGGAGAGAGAGATGGAGGGAGAGATGGAGAGAGAGATGGAGAGAGAGATGTAGAGAGAGACATGGAGAGAAGAGAAGAGAAGAGAAGAGAAGAGAAGAGAAGAGAAGAGAAGAGAAGAGAAGAGAAGAGAAGAGAAGAGAAGAGAAGAGAAGAGAAGAGAAGAGAAGAGAAGAGAAGAGAAGAGAAGAGAAGAGAAGAGAAGAGAAGAGAAGAGAAGAGAAGAGAAGAGAAGAGAAGAGAGAGGAGAGGAGAGGAGAGGAGAGGAGAGGAGAGAGAGAGGGGGGGAGACAGAGGGAAATGAGATATCAATGCCAGTTATTCTGAAACTAGACAAATTATTCATAGCCACAAAGTAATAGAATTCCAGATGGTAAGAGTAAGAGTAACACTTTTAATGGAAAAATGCAGGTAAGAAAAATGTTGGATTAATAGTAAATTTTGTTTTGTTTGATTAGTAAGACCAACCACATTTTTCTATGGACATTTCAAGAATAAAGAAATTTCAGCACTTTACTTATATTCTATTGTTACTTAGCCCAATGGAAGATCCATATTTTGAACAATAAGCAACATAATAATTCAGCTAAAAGTCATTTTGAATTTTAGATCTTTGATTTCCTGTTATGCAGCTAATTGAAATGAGTATAAAAATTCTGCCAAGGTTAAAAGAAACACAAATTCTGTTAGTATTTTATGGTAAAACAGGTTCTTGTACAACTCCTCTGATGACTGTGGTCCCACTACAGAATCATCATGGAAAATTCACTTAGCTGAGGAACTTTCATACACATACAAAAATTTATCTGTGTTCTTTTATATATATTTTCCATTCATTACTTCAATTCTGTGACCTAAGTTTATCATAACAATCTAAAAGTAAGGAAACAAGCAGTTCCGTGTAGCATCAAAGGTGCAAAGAACTATAAGTGAGGTAAAAGGCATGATTATACCTGCAGTCTTCAACACAGGAACATCTCAAGCACTTATTAACACTAGTCAGAGATGCAGTTTCTTTCACCCTTCCAACAATTCACCTAATTTTGTCTAGCTATGTACCAACAAATTATATTAATCTTTTAAATTTCTCCAGCTTAGGAAAAACAATATATACTTGAAATCATACATTCAACAATTAACACTGGACTATACAACAAACTAAGTTATAATATGGGTGTATGAGCAATGGGATCCAAAGTTTTCATCCATATGTAATACTCTGCATAAAACTAGTCCAAAGGTTTTAAATACCATCATATAATATGGCACAAAAGACAATTAAATGTTAAATTTAAATAATAATAAATATTTTACTGAAAATACCGCATGCATTATAAACATCTAAGTATTGCACAATATCAATGCATACCTGTAATGACACAAATCATGAACTACAGGTCGGGTATTTTTCTCAATTTTTTCCTTTTTTCTTTTCTTTTTTTCTTTTGTTGCCTACATTAGTGATTTTTTTTGTCCCTTTTTATCTCTTTACTGTTATCTCATCTCTCCTATTTCCCTATTACATTCATCATTTGTTTCACATCATCACTCATTTCATTTGTTATGTGGATTTTTCAACCTTATCTCTGACAGTTAATCTGATTTCTGTTAGATTCTGTCTAAATCCCTCTTTCTTATAGGGAAGCTTACAAAATATATAACAGAATATTCTGTAACAATAAGCAATAAATTGCTGTGATACAAGTACATGGTATATTTGATGCAACTGTAACGTTTACATTACAACCTTTCAGAATATTCACTATTTGTGGCAAAACTGAGAGTCCTTAATTTATACATATATATATTTTTTTATTATTATTATCATTTTACTCTTTACTTTAGTTTAAGTAACATTATTATACTAATAGGTGTGGACAACTCTATGCCAAATGGACACAGATATTAAAGCCATGAAACAAAACAAAATGACATTCATTCATTACATGTCTTAACTAAACACCAAATGTGGTTACCTTCTCAGTATTTAAAAATTACCCGTAGGTTTAAAACAGAAATTAGAACAGAACTTCCATTCTGACCTTAGAGTGCTTTGCCCCTTTGCCCTCAATGGACACAGATATTAATGTCACACTAAAATATATAACAAAGGGTAAATTCTTGCCAGAATCAAATGCCATCCATTCATATACAGATTTGCTTCTGGCTAATGAGCAGCAAGTCTATCTATCTATCTTTTAGAGAGTAAGGTGAATGTGTCTCAATAATTCTTCACATAAAAGGCTGTTCCGTCTCAGTGAAACAATTCCTATTTCACTTGCAAAGAGGTTATACTGCTTGTAAGGAAATAGCCTTGTAGTGTTTATACATTGAGCAAGAGAAGACTGGGAAAACCAGTAATCTTCATTCATTGGGAAATTGTTCATTCTGACATCTGTAACAAAATATATGCCATGGCTCTTCTTTTACATCACAGCTGTGTCATTATTGACCATAGGCAGTATCGTAGGCATAAATTGTATAGCTTTATTCATAGGTTTGTGAGCAGCGTTGACTGCTGGCCGAGTCCCTGTTGTAAGACCACAAAAATATCTTTATGTAGTTTTGGGACTTGATGTAATCACATAGTCTCCTGATAGGGTAAATGCCACACTGCTCAACAATGCCATATTTACTATCATAAAATCCTTTTAAGTATCTGAATGTGTGTGCTTGTGTATATACTGATCTGTAATAACAAAGCAAAACTGGAAATGTAGGATATGAAAATAAGGGAAAGACAAACTATGTGCACATCTAAAAATAAACAATTAAGTGAATTAATTAAATATACTATGAAATACTTTAAATTATTGTTTATAAAAGTGAAGAGTATAAAGAAAAAAATATCATAATGAAAATAACTAAAATAGTATTGCTAGGATATCCATTCACTTATTCATACGTTTCAATTGCACTTGGTTAGTAGAGGAATATTGTCTACAATACAAAGCACTGTATACACTCTCTTCTTCAAATCCTAAGGCCACAGCAGTTAAAAATGACACAAATTAACCATTTGTGTCTATTCAAAGCAAATACAACAGATATCTTTGCAATAGGAGTCCCTTAGTACATTTAATTTGACTAGTCAGCTTGTGCCTCTTAATGGTGCAGATGACAAATTTTAAAACCAGATTCTCTTGTTATAATCAGTTTGACTGAAGATCTGTCAAATCAACACCTCATCCAAACATGGTACCGAGGGCTTTAGTGCTAAAAAAACAGAAGTGCTAAAAGTGTCTTCAGCCAACTGCTGGTGACTTCATCCACACAGCAAAAATGAATGTGCAATGAGTCATATTCTGTCAAATGCCAAGCACCCTCTACCCTAATTATTCTTTGATTTAAAGCATAAAATAAGTGGCATAAATGCTGAAGGTGCAATACTTTTCCTTTGTATACCAATGTTTTCAAAACTATATCATTAAGAATAATTTGATAAGCTCATATTCTATCTTTCTCTAAATTAAAGTAGATTTTGCAAACCTAAAGTATGTCCTGGTTTTACCTATAGACTATCAGAATGATTTAAGTAATTCATGCACCTTTCTATTACCACAGCTCTCTCATGCTTTTAACTAGAAGCAGCTGCCTTAAATAAGTTCCCATTTACATGATGATCATCTGATAAAAATAAAAAATAAAAAACAATGTTAAAATTAAAATAGCAACAAAATATTAGTGAAAGAATAAAAACAATAGATAAATTTCTTCTTTAACTGTCTTCAAAAAATAATAACATCATCTCTTTTATCAAGAGTGTTTGTAAATTTCTGTCGAGTTAAGATGCTTCTGGCATTGTATGTGGAATAATGTACTTGTATCCTGCCACAGATAATTACACCTGCTGTATATTTGCTTGTATAACATGGTAAGAATTACCATTATGGCTCACAATGACTTCACAATATTTAAACTATTTTTGATATGATGTTACACTAAAACATCATACTGAAAAGATATGTCTAAGTTCCCTTATTTTGGGGTCTTCAGTCACAAGCCTCTGAAGTGTCATAGCAAGTAGATTATAAGTTAATACTTCACATCAACAATGATATATCTGTTTATTTGAACCATGTTTTTAGTACAATTCAATAACATGAAATGGAACAGTATATGCTTCTATAATCAAAAATTATCTAAATAAAATCTTAATAAAAACAAAAAAGTAAAAATGTAGTAAACCACCTGACCCATAGCATTAGTGTTTTTATCACATCTTGACCTGATACATTCAACAAAACATATTAAGACAGGAGACACAATAGCATGCTCACTAAACTTCATGATCTTTAAGATACTGATGACTGTGTCCTCATCCTAGGCATTTGTACAGTAACTAATATCCAATATCATGTTGTATTATCTTCCTGCAACTCATAAATAAATACAAACAGTTTAATCACATGCACCATAATAAGCCCACCATTCCCATGACACTGGACACCCCATCTAAGTTTTATCACTTTACACTTGAGACCCTTGAGTAGCTGTGGCATACCAGATTGGCTGTGGCCAAAACACTCAATCTTCCTTGGTTCTCATCTGTGTTAGTTTATCAAGGAAGAACTGTGGTATGAATCTTGTTTCTGAGGGGCTGAGCTTGGTCTCAATGGCTCTCACTTGGCTCCAGTGCTCACGACGCCTCTCAATGTCTTTTGAATCCACCCTGTTTCAGAGGTAACCAAAAATTAATTCATTGACACTGATCTACTCTTGCAGAAATTTTCTTTGTTTGTGTGAACAGAACAATGAAAAATACTATGTTACAGAATGATTTTAATATATTCGCACTACAGTACACCTCAGGTGGCAAATGGGAAAAGAATAAATTAAAAACACTCCCATATTGTACAGCAAAACATTTTCCCTATATGGCATCTTCTTTGCTCCAGAGGAATACTTAGTGCTGAAATGTCAATAAACTGTGCACTGTGAAAAATGTTCCAACATCATAATTTAAATCTAAAAAATGTTGAGATTAACTTTCCATATACTCAAACTTACTTAAAGGTATGAGGATCAATGAAAAAGTTCCACACTGTCCATAATATCAACATCACGAATATAGCAATCCATAGAGTCACCACATGGCTGAAATGTATAATTATCATTTATTGGAGCCATCAGCTGTAGCATCATATAAACATTGATATCATAACAAAAGGTTGTTACATTAACATCAACAATCAAATAGACAAATTTAAAAATAAATATAACATTTTAATTGCAAAATGGAAAATATTACACTAAACTCAGTACTAACATGCATGAAACATGAAACTAGTGAATCAAGTTTGGTGAAAAAAATCATCATGAACCATGCCAGATTGGTAATGAGGTCAGGCTAACATAATAAAATTAATAGTAGAACTTACCTGGGAAAGGGAATGGTGACTGTCTCCCAGCCAAATTTGATACATATTAACAATTCTGTGCATACAATGGCTAAAAAGAGCCACGATTGCCTACCAAACTTCAAAACATCTCTGGAGAAGAGAAAATAATACAAATCAGTATCATTTTGATTAAAGAGAAATTATTATCAGCATAATATCCGCCACCAACAATTAGGAACTACAGACAATCAGCACTCACGGATCATCAAGAAACTGGAACACCTCCCTAAGAGCTACAGCACCCCAAGGCAAGATGAACAGGAGGCGGACAAGGTTGACCCAGTGACTTGGCTCCACCCATAACACAAACTTTAGGTAGAATGTGTTCAGTTCTGCTAGAAGGAACTGTTGAAAAGCATGAAAAATTAGACAGTGAACTGCAGTCATAAAATTTCTGTATAATGTGTGTTGTTTAGTTTGCCAAGAAATACTGCTTTACCAACAGTGTAGCTCTAATAATACACAAGTTGGACTGTAAAAAATGGTAAAAAAAAATCCAAAGAGCAAAATGTAACTACATATAAAATCCAAGGCATTTTAAGTTATTTACTTTTATATTCATAACAAAAATATTAAACACAAAATATTAACTGTATTTTCCTGGGTTAACCCCTACAATCCAGATGACATGAGCATCATATCATGAAAGAATTGGCTTGAAGGGCAGAAGGGGAGGTGATGTGAACATGCCATTATGGGAAGGGTAACAAGAACTTGCCATCATGAGAATTTCAGCTGAAGGCTGGGATGACAGGAATGACTCGCCACTAGTGCACAAAGCTCTTGGAAAGGGGACATTTAGGTAGGGAATTTTGTATCATTTCCATCGGTAATCAAGTGGAATGTATCACAGGTGATCCATGACTGGAAGAGCACCGTTCCAGGAAGAACACAGTTTCTATGCTCAAGTCCCTATTCCTGCCCACCATGACCAGTGGTACATCGTTGTATTAAAGAAAATTGAAAATATTACCTAAACTCAGTACTAACATGCATGAAACATGAAACTAGTGAATCAAGTTTGGTGAAAAAAATCATCATGAACCATGCCAGATTGGTAATGAGGTCAGGCTAACATAATAAAATTAATAGTAGAACTTACCTGGGAAAGGGAATGGTGACTGTCTCCCAGCCAAATTTGATACATATTAACAATTCTGTGCATACAATGGCTAAAAAGAGCCACGATTGCCTACCAAACTTCAAAACATCTCTGGAGAAGAGAAAATAATACAAATCAGTATCATTTTGATTAAAGAGAAATTATTATCAGCATAATATCCGCCACCAACAATTAGGAACTACAGACAATCAGCACTCACGGATCATCAAGAAACTGGAACACCTCCCTAAGAGCTACAGCACCCCAAGGCAAGATGAACAGGAGGCGGACAAGGTTGACCCAGTGACTTGGCTCCACCCATAACACAAACTTTAGGTAGAATGTGTTCAGTTCTGCTAGAAGGAACTGTTGAAAAGCATGAAAAATTAGACAGTGAACTGCAGTCATAAAATTTCTGTATAATGTGTGTTGTTTAGTTTGCCAAGAAATACTGCTTTACCAACAGTGTAGCTCTAATAATACACAAGTTGGACTGTAAAAAATGGTAAAAAAAAATCCAAAGAGCAAAATGTAACTACATATAAAATCCAAGGCATTTTAAGTTATTTACTTTTATATTCATAACAAAAATATTAAACACAAAATATTAACTGTATTTTCCTGGGTTAACCCCTACAATCCAGATGACATGAGCATCATATCATGAAAGAATTGGCTTGAAGGGCAGAAGGGGAGGTGATGTGAACATGCCATTATGGGAAGGGTAACAAGAACTTGCCATCATGAGAATTTCAGCTGAAGGCTGGGATGACAGGAATGACTCGCCACTAGTGCACAAAGCTCTTGGAAAGGGGACATTTAGGTAGGGAATTTTGTATCATTTCCATCGGTAATCAAGTGGAATGTATCACAGGTGATCCATGACTGGAAGAGCACCGTTCCAGGAAGAACACAGTTTCTATGCTCAAGTCCCTATTCCTGCCCACCATGACCAGTGGTACATGTTGTATTAAAGAAAATTGAATATTACAGAAAAAAAAAATTACTACTAATAAAATGGTACTTGTGTTATTATCATTACATTGGATTACAGACTAGAGAGATGATGGAGACTGTGCAAGGAAAACAGTCTATTACCATCTGGATAATGCAATATGGACATTGGAAAATGATAAAACAGCTAAAACCACAAATGCAGAGAGATAACATTACAAAGGGAGGCAAGGCGTCTTGTCACCACATAAGTGCTCACGTGCGACCGCCCTACAAGCCACACACCAGGATCCAAGGGGTTACAAGTGCAATACATCCAAACACAGTAAAGTAGTTATCAATATACATTTGATTAAATTCCATTAGCTAATATGGTGTTACCATTACCGTTCCAACACAAGAATCACACATCAAACAATAGTTCTGATTAATCTAAGTTTCACTTGCCTTTCTAGTAGTCATTTTTAGTATATCAAATATACAAATATAACAGCAATCACTCTTGTATTTGACAATATATACTAAAAACAACATGCAAAATATCTCTATTAAAATCAATCACTAAAGTGTTGTTCTCACACTTAGACTCCTGGAAAAAAAAAATCAACATGCTTTATCCAATATTTTATACTGTACAGACACTGTCCACATTTAAGCCCTATGTAGTGTATGTCTGTTGTCTGATACTGAATAATAATTATGGTAAAACAAACAATGTCACTTACCACCACACAGACGTACTAACGTTGAACATAAAATTTAAAGGGTACAACGTACGGCTGACATTAAATTATCTGACTTTCATTCACAACAAAAAATTACTTAGTTTCAAAATTACCTAAAGTCAAGTCATGAGCAAATGACAAATACATAAAATACATAACTCATGAGAAGCTACTGTACTGTATAATAAATATACACTATGATACAAATATAAATTCTTAATTCTATAAAAAGAAATAAACGCTGTTGCTTCCAGTCGACAGAAACTTTTATCTACCTCCATATAGATCAGATTAGTAGAAAGTTTAATTTAAATAAATTACAGCAGATAAGCAACACAAAGGTATGACATTGCATTATAAATTTTAAAAAGAAAACTAGCACCGCCATCATAAACCTTAAAAAAAAAAAAAAAATGGATTCAGGGAACCTTACCACAGCTATAATTCCAAGCATGGAGAACCACCGACCAAGAGATGACAGAGGCTTCCAGTCGAAATCTACCCAAACGTATGGACCGAACTGGGCTATGATGCGCCGCAATTTGCCTCTGAGAACCACCAATACAAAGGTGTTAGGATCTTGAAACTGAACAGTTTTGCATCTGATTAATTTTATTTTAATGAATGGCAAGATCACTGCACAATGGCAATTCCTTTATAAGTGAATCACTATAACCTGAGCAGCGTCACCCAACCGCAGGAGGAACAGAAGCAGTGATACAGTACCTGTAAGTGGGGATGTTCCAGAGGCCTCGCCAATGATAAGTCTTGATGGAGAAATACTTAAGAGACTGAAGCCCACAGTAGATTCCCAGACCATTACACAATAGGGCATCCATTATCCACTAGAAAAAATGAAAATTCACGATCGGAAAAGTGTATGAAGGATGAAGCTATGAACAGCGTACACTACAAATATCAAAAGTGTCTTCCTTAAATGGATAAATTGGTGAAGGTCTAGCTAAGTTAAATGCTAAAAAAGTAAGAAAAAAATTGGATTTTATCATAAAAGATGACATTTCATTTTTATTCTTTAGACCACTAACAGCCACATTCAAGTTTCAAGCATGTTTAATATCTACAAGGGTTACATTCACATATCTCCACTGAAAGGTTTACATTCCATTCTAACTTTCTTGTTTTTTCAGATAGAACAAACATTAACAATTTAAAAAATAAACTAAATTTATGCATAATCACACACAAAAGAAAATGAAAAGAAAAGAAAAAGAAGAGTTGGGAAAATTTAGAAAGTACCTATAAAAAATGCTAAAGAGAATGGGTCAAGAAATGGACACATACCGCAAGTGCACAGAAGGGAAAAAGGGACGACAAGACTTACATGGTCCCACCAGCACTCTGAGAAGTTGGGCAGCTGGTGCTCGAGGGTGTACTCCAGGATCTCAAACATGACTGAGATGACCCAGCAGAGCCACCAGTCCCGCAACAGGAGGGTCTTCAGCCACCAGCCGAAGAAGTGCAGCGGAACAAACAAGTCGAGTTTGTCCTGCAGGGAGAAGGAGAGGATGAAATAAAATCTTTCAAAGACAGGAAGATGGCACAACAGAAGGATAATTTAAAGAAACAAAGAGGAAGGGAAGGAGGAAGATGAGAAGGCAGAAGAAAAGAAAAAATTGACAAAGAAAGGAAAAGAAAAAAATAATAAATTAAAGAAAGAATAAAATACAAGAATAGAAAATAACATGTGTGGTTACTGCCTCATGCTGCAAGCAGATATTTCATGGGGTAACAATTGTGATAACAAAAACAAATTTCTCCGTGAATAGTCTCCAAGGAATGCTCAATGAGCTGATTAGCAACGGTAATCAAAGAAAACTGAAATTCAAATGAAAGCTGATTACGTTACTCAGTATTTAAGATCTGAATGTTAGATATTACACCAACCACCTAACTGGTAGCTACTGCACACAGAAATAATGCTTAATACATAACAATACTGGACAGTCATTTTTTGTGAATCTATAAATAACAGCATGGAAGTTTATTCATCCATATATTCCATTCTTAAGAAACCTGCCATCAGTGAGTCTACAGCCCAAAAACAATAAAGAAGTATGTAAAGATAAATATGCACCAACAAATGTGAAACCAATCTATTTTGAAAAAAAAAGTCAAAAAAAAAAAAAAAAAAAAAAAATCTAAACCAAACTAAGGCAACCAAGTTCAAAAGACCCTCATGGCCACCTTTATGTTGTGGTACGGATCGTCGGGGTGCTCGGGGTCGTACAGGAGGCAGTTCCCACCATAGTCCTTCTCCTCGAGCGGCTCCCCTAACTTGGGGTCTATGAACTTTAGGAGTTGTCTAGCACCAGAAGCACTCTGGAAAAGACAAAAAAGGAAATACAATAACCACAATCATTACAACTATATTTATATCAATAATGTCATCAATCAGAATGAAAATAAAGAGACAAATGCAATAGTTATGGTAGGTGGTGGTGGTGGAGGTAGAGATGGAGGTGGAAGAGGAGGAGGAG